GATCATACGGCAACTCGGATAATTTTGAGGGGAGCCTCCATCCTGTTCTCCACAGTGGCTACACCAATTTATATTCCCACAAACAGTGGAGGGTTCCCTTTTCTCCACACTGTCTCCAGCATCTGTTATTTGTAGACTTTTTAACAGTGGCCATTCTGACCAGTGTGAAGTGAGACCTCATTGTAGTTTTGATTTGCATTTCTCTAATAATGAGTGATGTGAGCATCTTGTCATCTGCCTCTTGGCCATCTGTCTTCTTTGGAGAAATGTCTGTATAAGTCCTCTCCATTTTTCAATTGGGTCATTTGTCTTCTGGTTATGAAGTGGTATGGGTTGTTTGTCTGTTTTTTGGTTATGGAGTAGTATGACCTGTTTGTATATTTTGGAGATGAAGCCCTTGGCAGTCACATCATGTACAAATATTTTCTCCCAGTCTGTAAGCTGATGGTTTCCTTTGCCTTGCAAAAGCCTGTAAGTTTGATTAGGTCCCATTTGTTTATTTTCTGCTTTTATTTATGTTGTCTTGGGAGACTGTTGACGTTTATTAAAACACAATTACTGAGTAAAATGAAGTGATCTTTTGTTTTTGCAGGGAAAAAGAAATATTTGATAACCAGCTCCTAGAAGAACGGAATCGGCGATGCTGAAGCAGGTGGTGGCAGTGCTGCATGCCTGCGCTCTGGGGGCCAGGCCGGCCGTTTGCCTCCTTCTGTCTGCGGGTTCTATTTTCCTGGCTCTTGTGGAAGGTATACTTCCCAACAGGCTTTTAAAGAACAGAAATGCATTATTATTATTATTTTTTAAACTTCACGTCATTACCTGTGACTGTACCGCGTAGTTTTATAGAAGGTGCACATTTGTTTTTTATGTTAAAAAACATTGTATCTGACATTCAACAGGAGTTTTAAAGACATACGAGTGTGCTGCTCCCGGCACGTCAGTGTGTTTCTCCGTTTGTTTCCCTCCTCTGTGCGGTTCCTCTCACACTGGCTCCTGAGTTTGCTGTGCCTCTGTTCTGTGTTTTTGAGAAAACCCAGTGTTTGTGAGAGGCAGACCAGAGACCTGCTGCTGTCTGCGCTCTCCCCTCTGCTGGCACTCGGGCAGGGGAGAGGCAGACCTTGAACCTCTCTGGCCACTTTCTCCTCGGTCCCTCTGCGGGTTTCTCCACCCAGCCCACTTCTGGGCCAGTGTAACAGTCCCTAGTGGTCATCGCTCCCATCCGGCCTGGCCAAGGTCACTGTGTGTTTGGCCTGGGCTGTGGGGTCATGGCCTGGCACCTGTGGAAACCAGCCCTTTGTCCTAAAGCCAGAGCATGGACAGGTGCCCTGCCGCCCGAGGGTCCTAGGCTAGGGGCCCCCACTTTGGAGACAGTTGCCTGAAGGCTGGGTCCTCAGTGTGGTCACAGAAATTATGTACACCGCAGATTATTTATTCTAAGCTGACGTGGAGCTGCTTGTGGAAGGAGACATCCAGGTCCCCACTGTGATGGCTGCACCGCAAAGTCTGAGCCCAGCCAGCGGGGAAGGGTGGTCGTGGGGGTTGGGGGAGTGGAAGGGTGAAGGAATAGGCCCTGGCTGGAGTGGGGTGGTCCAGGAGGAAGCAGGTACAGCCATCACTGCAGGCACCGGGCACCAGCATGTGATCTCTCTGCTGGTTTTGCATGACCCTGAGCAGAGGTGCAGCTGCTGGCCTGAGGTCCGGCTGAGCCACCCTCCAAGGACACCCCAGGGGTGTCCTGGCTGGGCTGGCTTGGAAGGGCTCACCCGCTTTTGGACGGTCCTTTGACACTGAGCCTTCTTGAAGTGGGTCAGGGTGAGAGCAGTATGCTCTTGTGGGCAGGGGACCACATGAACTATTCGTTACCATCGGGTATTTTTATATATCTCTGTTCTGAGCTCTGCTTGTGAGCTCTGCTTGTGGAACTGAACTGTTGAGACTGGAATTAAAGGCCATTTTGCAGCCCTGCTTATTCTTTTCTGGGACCCGCCTGCAGCCCACCATGTGCAGGCAGTCAGGCAGCCACACTGTCCCCAGCAACTGCTTCTGGAGGCCTGTACCCCACTGGGGAGGGGTTTCCCACACCAGGCCAAGTAGAGCAGGTGTCTGTAGATGCGCTGTGCTGAGCAAAGGTGCTGGGGGTTTCTGCCCCCCACCCCCTCGTTACCTGGCGCCTCAGCTCTCACTGTGTCTTCTGCTCTGTGGATCCTGAACATGTCTGTCTTCAAGCTTTGTCCTGCATCCACCAGGGCAGGCGGTGGTGGGTGGGACCTGCTGAAGACGCCAGGTGGCATTGGGCAGCGGTGAGGAAGCTGGAGCCAGCTGACCCAACTGGCTCATCAGGTGAAGGATGTTCAGAAGTGCCTGCCAGGTGGCCCCAGCTCCCCATGGAAGTCAGCACACTGACTGCTTCTGAAGCATCAAGAAGACACCCAGCACAGGAGTGCAGGCAGGGGCCCCCACCAGCTGGCCTGTGGCCTCCTGCATCCCTGTCCCCCAAAGCCCCAGATACCCTGCGCCCCCTCACCTGCAGTCCCCCCTCAGCCACCCTGGGCTCCAGCCAGCTAGAGACAGCTGCCTGTGCCTCTGCACGGCCACCTTGCTGCCCCCGGGTCTGGTCATCTCCCACCTGGTCACACTCCCGGTCTGCCCTCCCTGACCCTCCTTCCACCCAGACCCCAGACCCCAGACCTCATCGGTACGCTCTTCCTACATTTGCTTCACCTGTCGCTCCAGCCCGGATGGCGTGAGGGGTGATCAGACCCCCGATGGAAGGAGCAGCACATTTCAACAAAACTGCTTTCTGGAGGGGAGTTCCCTGCGTTCACTTGGGCACCTCTTCAAGCCCATCATCATTCGGGAAATTGATTAAAACGAGGAATGCCGGGCACAGATGTGCGTGCTGAGAATCTCAAATCGGCTATGCATGTCTGGGCAGTGTGGTCAGGGCCTCTCACCCCTGAGGCAGGGCTTCTCCCTCCTGGCTTTCCTGTCAGGGCACCCCCTCCCCCAGCCCCTGCTTGCCCTCCTCCCCCCCGCCCTGCCGCTTCCCTCCACCTCTGGCCCCTCTGCCTTCCTCCCTGCTCCTCTAGCCCTGCTCCCCCTCTTCCTCCCTCCTCCCTGCCTGCCCTCTGTTTACTCCCTGCCCCATCTGACCTGCTTCTGGTGGGTTGCCCTTTTGAAGGTTCTCCCTGGACGCCCCAGGCTCCTGATGCAGGCTCTTCCCTCTCCATCCAGCGCTTGAGTTATCCAGCCCTGCATCGACAGTGAAACCGGCCCCGCCTGCTGGCTAGAACCTACATTCTCCTGTGCGCCACTCTGTGGTCTCTGGAGGTCTCCGGCTGGGGCAGCACCTTCTGAAGGCTTGGGTGGGGCTAGGGGCTCGGCTCCCAGGACTAGGACATGGGGAGAAAACAGGAGCCTGAAAAAGCTGTGACATGATCATGTTGGCGATGTATCCACATTGGTTCCTGAATCGTGAACGTGAGTGTAAGATGTTAGCAATAGGGGACACTAGGTGTTGAGTATAGCAAGCTCCATACTATATTCACAACTTTTCTCTGAATCAACAGTTTATTTATTTATGGCTGTGCTGGGTCTCCTTTGCTGTGTGTGCTTTTCTCTAGTTTCGGGAGCAGGGACCACTCTCTAACTGCAATGTGTGGTCTTACCACTGCAGGGACTTCTCTTGCTGCTGAACACAGGCTCTAGGGCCCCCTGGGTCAGTAGTTGTGGCTCTCGGGTGCTAGAACACAGGCTCAATAGCTGTAGCACAAGGGCTTAGTTGCTCCAGGGCATGTAGGATCTTCCTGGACCAGGGATTGAACCTGTAACACCTGCATTGGCAGGTGGATTCTTTACCAATGAGCGACCAGAAAAGCCTCCCGGCCCCCCCCACCTTAAAATTTTATTTATTTTTGGCTGTGTTGGGCCTTCATTTTTTAAAATTAATTAACTTATTTGGGTTTATTTAAATTAAAAAAACAAAAATCCAGGTCCACAGCCTGGCCAGTCGTGGGAACTGAGGACTTGTAGGGTTCCCCTCGGCCCCACCTACTCTTGACTCCTGCATTTGTTGGAGATGGATGGTGAGGGTGGCCAGAGGCCATTTGCCCCTGCCGGGACCTCGATCGCCAGGCTCCGCGACACCCCTGCGCTGTTCCACGCCCGTCAGGAGGAGTTCTGCTGCTCACCTGAGTTCCCCCGTTTGAGCGTCAATTTCCCTATAAATAAAATGGGTAGAACAGGTGCCTCACAGGATTGTCAAAATTAAACCACATAGGAGGGGCTTCCCTGTCAGTCCAGAGGTAGATAGAGTCTGCCTGCCAATGCAGGAGTCACGGGTTGGATCCCTGATCAGGAAGATCCCACATGCGTCGGAGCAGCTAAGCCCCTGCGACACAACTACTGTCCCGCTCTGCGAAAACAGAAAAGCTTGTGCAGCAGCAGACTCAATGAAGCCAAATATACTTAACTTTAAAAACATACACACACATCGGAGACAAAGGTATTTTTGCAAACTCCCTTTTGCCGCTCTTGGTGTTCAGCATTGTTTCTTTTACAATTAGCATTCGTTCTAATCCTACCACTTAAAATATATTGGAAATCGAGGTAGGAGGGGGCGGTGCTTTGGGGCTGGAATCACAGTTTTGGGGATTGGCGGGACGGGGCAGGGCGAATTTGAGGTCTTTTTCCATCCAAGCCCTCCCGCGTTGGCATAAGCCAATGTCAACACCCACACATTCTTGGTAAACGAGCTAGGAGCAGCTGGATTTGCTCTGAGTCAGAGAAGGCTGATGCTAGCAGCGCCAAAACTTTTGCCGAAACCCGGGATCGAACCAGGGACCTTTAGATCTTCAGTCTAACGCTCTCCCAACTGAGCTATTTCGGCTGGATAGCAAGGGTTGCTCTCATCTCCCGACTCCGCCCCGCCCTGTACGGCTCGCGCGCAGACGTAGCTCGGGCCTCCCCTGCGGGCCGCGCATGCCTCGTAGGGTCGCGCCTGCAACTCAGCCGCAACGCTGTCTCTGTGGCGCAATCGGTTAGCGCGTTCGGCTGTTAACCGAAAGGTTGGTGGTTCGAGCCCACCCAGGGACGGGGCTTGTGTTTTTTGCTTCCCCGGGTAAGAAGAGAGTGGGATACCCTCTTCCTTTTGCCAAGACTGTCCGCGCGCACCTCTGTGTTCTATTTCCGCGTGGGGTGTCCGCAATCGCGCGGCCGTGGGGCGTCCACAGAGGCGGAACGTCCCAGCCCGAGTTCCGGTTTTTCCCCACCAGCCGAGCCGCTTTGGGCGACGGCCCGGGGCATCCGGAGCGCTACAGAGGACGGACCGTAGAGGTTGTCTGAAGGCCGAGGCCAAGATGGCGGCTCTAGCGGGTGAGCGGGTTGGGGCGGCGGGGTCGGGGCTTGGGTCGCTCCGGGAGACTTTACCCCCAGCCGCTCGGGCAAGCGGAGGCAGAGTGTGATGCAGGCTGCCATTTTTGGGAGGAATTCCAGGCTGGGCAGAAGGGGCCCACATTTGGTCCAGGATGCTGCCCCTGAAATTCCCGGGAAGAGGCGGCGCCGGTGGGTACAGCCCTGACAGGGAGAAAAGTGAGGCCCAGAGAGAGGCTGGGATCCCTGGAGGTCACGCGCCCTGGCAGGGCCGGAACGCGACTCAGGGCAGCCTGACACCCTGGGAAGGGGTCAGTCACCGGCTGAGCAGGCGTCCTAACCCTGGCTGCTCCAGGGCCCTTTCCTCCTCCGATTAGCGATTAAGTACATAGGATGGATTCCCAGGACTGTAAAGGAAAGTGGGTATCCTGACAGCTGTTAAGATACTGTCTGGGAACCAGGAATCTGTTCGCAGTCCGGGTGCTTCATTAGTCATGCCTGGAAGGCCAGGGTCTAGTGGCGGTTCTGCCAACTGCTGTGTCCTTGAAGGAATGGAGTGGGCACGTTCCTTTACACATGGTTGGCAGCAGTCCCTGTGGCGTAGTTAAGAAATCATTGTCATTTCTGTTGGTGAAATGCCTGCATCCTGCTACTAATGCTGTAGTTTTGGCTATACTCAGATTTTAAGGAAAGGCCAAATTTTTAATAAGACGCGGGTGACCATAAAATGGGTATTTTTCCTTCCCGTGCAAGTTCACCGGCCTTCTGAATCCTTACCAGCAGCCTCTTGCTAAGTCTGGACCAGAGGTTGGAATTCCCTCACCTTGGAGGTGAAAGGCATTTACCGTGCTGTGAATTTACCTAAAGCCCTAAGGTCAGGTTGCGGGGCTGAGGCTGAGAGAGAAGCAGCTCACACAGGAGTCAGGAGTTGCCCAGCCTCTGGGACTCCAGAACTCCCAGCCCAGGGCCTGGAGCCTCGCTAAAGTCTGTGGATATGTTGGCTTGACACACACCTGTCTGTCTGAGTCAAGGCCATGACAGACACTAAGGGAAGCCAGGGAGGCCCTCGCATCTGGGGCAGGCAGGCACCACACAAGAACATACGGATGTGGCAGGATCAGGAGGACCTAGGAAGCTAGTGTAGACCCAGGCAGTTGAGCTGAAACCTGTCCCACAAGAAGGGCCGGGTGCTCCAGGCAGAGAGCATGGCAAGTGCAAGGCCCTGAGGCAGGTGGGACACTGATGTGCCTGAGGAAAGGAGCACTGGCCTCCAGTGTGGACTGTGTCATTGGAAACAGGGGAATGACACTGGACACTGTCTGGTGTCTGCTTCATATTCTGAAAGATGGCTTTTTTTTTTTTTTTTTTGGCTATACCTCACAGCTTGCAGAATCTTAGTTCCCTGACCAGGGATCAAACTCGGGCCCCTTGCAGTAGAGGCACGGAGTCCTGACCCCTCGACCACCAGGGAAGTCCCCTGAAAGATCGCTCTGTACCAAACATTTATTAAATGGAGTCTAAATAGACTGAGGGTGAGAGGAGGGGGTGCTAGGTTCTGGCAGGCAATTGCCTGGCTGGACACTCCCGGCCTGTGTGGCCTCTAATGCTGCCTCAGCTCACTGCCCACTCACTGCCTCCACCCTGTGGTTCTCTCTGCAGCTCCCCGCCTGCTCCGCCCGATCCTTGCTGTGAGGTGAGTGCCTGCCTCCGGCTCTGATCCTGACCTTCTACCCATAGCAGTGAGGCCCTGGCCGGGAGAGGCTTAAACGGGGCCAATAGGGTGCCTCACACTCGGGAGGGCCCTCCAGCAGCACCAGGTTGGGGGCCGCCTGGCCTCCAGACCCATGTCTCCCTACTCTCGTGCCCTCAACTCAGCCATTACCTGGCACTGGAAGGCTTCTGGTACATTTGCTCAGGCAGCAGCCCTGTGCAGACCTCCTTGGGACGGGAAGGCAGGTGGCTGCCAGGGCCTTGGTGCAAACAAAGCCCAGAAATCCAGCCCCAGCCCCGAGCTTTCAGGGACACAGCAGATCTCAGGGGAGGGTCTTCTTTTTTTTTTTTTTTTTTAATACCAAAAACATTTTGTCTTGGGTTGCAGCTGATTAACAATGTTGTGATAGTTCCAGTGAACAGTGAAGAGGCTCAGTCATATATATACATGTATCCATTCTCCCCCACACCCCAGGGGAGGGTCTTCTTAATGGAGGGGAGTTGGGGGCTCTGAGGATGGTGTGGATTTGGGCTGATTTTGATAGGCTTTTCCCCTGGGAATAAAATAGGTAATGCAAAGCAAAGGGAAAGTGGGAAAACAAGGAAAATTTCAGATGCAGAGTAGGTACTCTCTAGATCAGGGATCAGCAGATTTGTTTCTGCAAAGGGCCAAATAGTGAACATTTTCGACTCTGGCTCTTTAAAAACAGCCATAGCCACCAAGAAAGTGAACGGGCATGGCTGTGTGTCAGTAAAACTTAGTTTACAAAAACAGGCGGAGGGCTATATTTGGCCCCTGGTCGGTCCCCCCATGCTGGTCCCAGGGTGACCCTGTCAGCAGGCGCCCTGGGCTCCCTGTCATGTGTGGTCCATCTCCTGACAGCTCTGGCGTGGGTGCCACTCTGCAGGTGCGCGGGGTCCATTCGAGCATGGCCGCTGACAGCCCGAGCAGGTGAGGCCGGCCTTCCCGGGAGCTAGCCCCCCACCCCTGCCTGCACAGCAGTGGCCTGTGGTAACCCTGGGCCCTCCCACCACCCAGTGGGCAATACCAGGGATCCCTGCCCTCAGAGTGCTGCTGAGCCCCCTCCTGCACATCCAGGCTGATGGCTGCACATGTCCAGACCAGGAGCTTCCTGACAGAGTGTGTCAGCCAAACCCGTTTTCCAGTTGAGGAGACCAAGTTCTTGAGAGGACAAGGTCCCACTGGGACGGCAGTGAGGCATGTCCTGCCCCAAGCCTGGGCAGCAGGTGGGGGCAGAGGGGGCACCTGTCTGGCTGACGCCTTCCCATGCCATGTGTCCGTGTCCAGCACCCAGCCTGCTGTATCCCAGGCCAGAGCCGTGGTCCCCAAACCTGCCGCACTTCCCAGCAGCCGGGGCGAGTATGTGGTGGCCAAGCTGGACGACCTCATCAACTGGGCACGCCGGGTGAGCCCCTCCCTGTCTCCGTCCCTCAGGCCCCTGCTGCCAAGTGTCCATTGAGTGGGCCAGGCCCCTCTGTGTGGAGACCTGAGGCTCTGATTCTCAGGATCTCTGCCCTTCCCCCTGCCACCTCCCAGAGAGGATGACCCACCTCCTTCCTGTCCTTCTGTCTTCTGTTCCTCTTTTTTCTCTTTTAATGTAAAACCCATGTTTTTAACTGGAAATGGGTGATGAAAACAGTAGCTCCTTCCCAGCAGATATCCTAACTTCCATCCCACCGCCTGTGTTGGCCTTGGGAGAGTCTGGTATCCTTGTGCTCATCTGTGTCTCCCTCAGGAAACATGTCCTCTGCCCTAGGACAGGGACTCCTTTCAGTGCCCCTAGGGCACCCTGCTGGGGAACAGGCCCCCATTGATGGTGCTGTACAATGTCCATGTGTGACCAGCAGGGCTGCAGTGAGCACCCCTCCAGACCCGCAGCTCCAGGGTGGCCATGTCACTGTGGCCAGGCACTGTGGAGTCGACCACTGTGGGCACCGCTCGGGTGCTCTGCCATGTTGGGCTGCCCTTGCCCTCTGGGTGGCCTAAGCCCTGTCACCTAAATTAGCACATCTGCAGGGCAGCAGGGACCTTGGCCAGATCCCAGAATGGACACAGACAAGCAGAGAGAACAGCTAGGGTGGTGGGGGGCGGGGGGTGGTGGGAATCAGACACCACAAGTCGGAGGGAAGTCAGGATGCATCCAGGAGAGCTTCCTGGAGGAATTGGTCCTTTGAGTTCAGGCACTGTTGGGAACAAGGCTCTGCAGGGGCTTAGTCACAAGCTCTAAGTCTGTGCCAGGTGTAATCACTGGGTGCCCAAAGCAGCATGTGCCATATTGGAGGCCAGATTTAGGGGAGACTGGGGTTGTGTGCACTGTATCATTAAAACTATTTGCACTTGGTTTTAGGGCTTTTCTGTTTGTTTTTCTTTTTGGTAATGTGGCTGCTGGGAAGCATGGACCCACTGGCCAAATTCACTTTCCCCTCCTGGCAGGCAGTCCTGAGCTGGGGCAGCATGCTCAGGCTGGTGACCAGCATCCAGAATGCCTTGGGGTTTGGAGGTCATGTAGTCACTGTGGGCTAAGGTGTCATCTTTGAAGAAAGGCTAGGCATCTGGATTTTTCTTTGTGAAATCGCCCAATTTCTTTAAACATGGTGGGCCCCTCAGTCTGCTCACTGGCTACCCACCCTGCCCTGCAGAGCTCGATGTGGCCCATGACCTTTGGCCTGGCCTGCTGTGCTGTGGAGATGATGCACATGGCGGCACCCCGCTATGACATGGACCGCTTTGGCGTGGTCTTCCGTGCCAGCCCGCGCCAGTCTGATGTGATGATCGTTGCTGGGACGCTCACCAACAAGATGGCCCCTGCGCTCCGCAAAGTGGGTCCAGCCCCAAGGCTCACCCTTACTCCCCATCCCCCACCCCCCAGCCTTGAGCTGCACACAGACAAGCCTCACCCTTACTCCCCATCCCCCACCCCCCAGCCTTGAGCTGCACACAGACAAGGCTCACCCTTACTCCCCATCCCCCACCCCCCAGCCTTGAGCCACACACAGACTCCTGTCTCTTCCAGGTCTACGACCAGATGCCAGAGCCCCGCTACGTTGTATCCATGGGGAGGTGAGTGCCCAGCGGGGCAGGGTCGGATGACAGAAGGCGGGTGACACACTGGCCTCTCTCCTGTCTCCTTTCTGTGCTGCCTTCTGACGGGGGTCGTCCAGAATGTCCCCTTCTGCCCTGTGACAGCCATGCCCCCACCCCACAGCCTGTCCAGTTCCTGTCTGTGTCCACGGTAGGACAATGGGAGGGACGTCCTGCCCTGGGGGGCTGCAGCCTTCTCCCCATCTGGCCAGCTCCTATTTCTCCACGCCATTAAAGGTTGTGTAGTCATCTAATTTCTTGGTAGAGGTAGAATTGACATACTATAAAATTCTCCCTTTCAAAGTGTACTGTTCGTGGGTTTTGGCGCATTTAGTGTTGTGCACCCATAGTATCTATGGAAGAGGTGTGGGTTGGGAGCTGGGAGGGGGGAGAGAGGTGGCCAGGGTGGTGGGAAAGGCCCTCACAGCCCCGCTCCCCTCCCCCAGCTGCGCCAACGGAGGTGGCTACTACCACTACTCCTACTCAGTGGTTCGGGGCTGCGACCGCATCGTTCCAGTGGACATCTACGTCCCAGGTGAGCCCCCACGGGGCGCACAGAACCCCATCTCCCCCACTGAGAGGGCTCGCCCTGTGAAGCATGAGCAGACTTAGGGTCCCAGAAGAGTGACACCCCAGCCTTTTCCCCGTCGTCCCTGGAAGGTCTTCCCAGCTGTAGGTCTTTGACTTTACCCGGATTCAGCTTGCTCCAGTCTGCCCCCACCTCTTTGAAAGGGCCCTGGGGGCGGGGCAGTGTGGTCTGGGTGTCAGCAGGCCGCCCACACTTGTCTCCTGGGTCCCGGGCCAGGTAACGTGGGGGTGAGGGCCGTGGACAGGGCAGATCACCTGGGCGGGGCCCTCCGGGCCTTCCCCCACCCATGTCTTGGCCTGGAAGTCAGTCCTGGGTTCATGCCGTCTGGCGGGCCTGGACCCCCAGGGTGGACCTGCCCACCCCCGAGCCCATCCCAACTGGTGTTGGTTGAAGGGGTCAGGAGCTTGAGGCACCACTCACACCGCTCCCCTCTAGGCTGCCCGCCTACGGCCGAGGCCCTGCTCTACGGCATTCTGCAGCTGCAGAAGAAGATCAAACGGGAAAAGAGGTTGCGGATCTGGTACCGCAGGTAGTGCTGGCGCCTGGCCGCCCTGTGAATCGTCCCCCCAAGAGGCGGTCAATAAACCCGATCAACCTTCCCTGCGCTCCCGCCCAGCGTGCTCTTTGGGCGGGGCTGGGGGCCTGCAGGGAAGGCGGGGCTTTGCTCTAGTGTAGGGGGAAGCTGAGGCCCCGGGAGGGCCTCGAGTCAGAGGAAACAGGATGATGGGAGAGTTGGGGTGCAGCCTGACTGGGTGGGACCGGAGGGTCTGAATCTTGGGGCTGCCACCCTGTTTGGCCCTGACCTAGTTCCGCCTCTTCTGAGGACCTCAGGTGCCCACCAGCGGGAGGGCGGGACGGGCCACGGGTGATTGATCGTCAATGTCTGCCAAGGGCGGGATGGGAGATCGGAAACTAGTGGGGAATGGCCACCAGCTCCTAAAAGCCCTTGTAGCAGATTTCTTTCCTTTTACCATTCTTTGGAGAGGCAGGAAAAGTAAAAGCAAACACACACTTGTGTCCCACTGCTGATGGGCCAGACCAGCATTAGCGTTTATTTCATCCCCAGGTCCTCTGGCAGAGAGGGACAGGGAAGCTGGCGTGGGTCTGGACCAGGGCTGAGGGCTGGAGCCCTCAATTCCGGTCACAAAGGCACTGAGTAGGGGTAGGGGTTCCCGAAACCCAGGTCCCCCAGGCGGCGTGGGCAGCTGGCCCTTGGGCTCAGTGCTTGGTGACCAGGGGCGTGATCATCCGCGGGAAGGCGTAGTAGCGGCAGTCGGCTGGCGGGACCAGCTCCAAGACCTGCGTGCGGATGTTATCCCGCCGGAAGCCCGCCTCCAGCAGGGCCGGCACCTGCGTCTCCTGGCCAGAGGGAGGCGCCAGGTCACGGGGAGTGGGGGGCAGTGGTGACCTCTGCTGACCGCCCCTCTGCCAGGTACCCTGGGGCCTAGGCGGGGTCGGAGGCCTGGGTGTGGGTGTCTCCGGGTGTTCAAACACCACTTCCAGGCTGTTAGGGTGTATCGCCTAGTTCATCTTCACAGATAGAGGAAACCAAGTGGGCAAAGGCCCGAGACAAAGGTGGCCAGACGAATAAAGAGAAGCCTGGGTGCAGGAGGGCAGAGGGAAGGGTGCGGGGGCTCTGGGCTGCATCCCTGTATCCCCAGGGCCTAGGGAAGCCACCAGATGTCAGTCTGGAGAGACTGACCTCTCCTGATGTACAAGTGGGCGCTGAGTCCACCGAGATCAGCCCCTAGGGCCAGCGGAAGCCAGGGACTCTCCCCAGATCACAGCTGCCTCCCCACCCAGAGTCACTGCCTGGGATGGGGGTGGGGCACCTCAAACATGGTGGTGATGTCCGAATACTTGGTCTTCATCAGCTCCCCCCAGGAGGTGAGGTTACAGTAGGTGAGGACACCCCCTGGCTTCAGCAGGCGGAAGGCATGGTCCTGGGAGTGGGGGTGAGGGTGAACAGTGGTCAGGAAGGGATGTGAGGGTGGGCAGAGGTGTTCCCAGCAGACCTCCCACCTCCTGGCAGATCAGGGGAATAGTGGAAGGAGAGGTGACCCCTCCATGGACAGCAGGTGCCCCCCACGGGGCTGGCCCTCCATCCTGGGGCTGGTAGCCCACATTCCACCATCAGTGGCCCTACCCGAATGAAGTTGAACTGGTGAGTGTGCCAGGTCTCCTCCGACAGCGGGTACGTATCGTACAGGATCCCTGTGTGGGAGGATGAAAGTCACATGGTTGGGGGGGGCAGCCTCACCGGGCAGGGCTGCCAGTGGGAGCCTCAGGGAGGCCTGAAGTGCCACAGCCACTTCTACGCATCATGTCTCTTCCGTCCTTCAGGAGATATATGCGCACCTGCGTGCCAGGCTCCTGGACATGCATCCGTCCATGCCTGCCTCTTGGCTCTGCGCCCCAGTGAAATGTAGAGGCTTCATAAGCAGGCAGAGGGGCTGGCAGACCCAGCAGAGCCCCCCCTCCCCAGCTCCCAGAGCCCCTCACCATCAAAGTGACTGTCTGGCAGGGTGGGTGCCACCTCTTCCCACAGGCCTTTCAAGGGAACCACCTTGGGGCAGAGGAGAAAAAGAAGGCTAGGTCAGAGGGGGCCCAGAACTCCCATCTGTTACAAGGGAAGGGGCAAGGCCTTCACCCTGAAGACGGAGACCAAGGGCAGAGACAGGCACCTTATGTGGCTGCTGCAGGGCCCAATCCTGGAGCCGCTGGAAGACGCCCTCGTTGCACTCAATAATCCAGTGTTCCTCGATGGGAGCCTCCTGCACCTTTGTGGCTGCGATGGCCATGCCGAAGCCCACTTCTAGCACCCGGCCCCCTAGGCAGATAGAGAGCCCAGGTGTTAACCCGCTGGGTGGGGCTGATGAGGCCACCTGGAGGAGGGGGCACGGGGGCAGGGCTTTGACGGGGAGAAACATTTGCCACAAGGACCGGGCAGCACAGCAGAGCAGAGGTGGGACAGAACACGGCAGCTCTGAGAGGGAACAGCGTGGGCCTGGGCCAGCAGCCAGGGAGGGTGGCGGGCCAGGGAGGCCCCGGACAACGGCCACTGGACTGGCCAGGCCAGGAGGCAGGACAGACCCTGGACTTTGAGCCCTGGCCCAGGCTGTTTACACTGAGGGTGCTTATCTGCCAATTTGGGCAGTCCCCCAGCCCCGCAACAGTGAAGTCAACAAAGGACAAGGAAGAACCAGGATTCAAGGCCCAGGCCTGGAACAGGAGGGCGGGGATTGATCCCCTTTGGGTCAAAGACAGAGGCAGAGAAACACCCTAACTAGGCAGGGACGCTGGCTGTGCCCATTTGGTAGATGGGGACACAGGCCCAGAGGTGGCATGCACAGCCTCTGGGGTCGTGGGGATCCCTGAGCACCCCCACGGGCTCTGACACCTGGTGCAGGGCCACCTTCGACAGCTGTCGCCCGGCCTCAGCTTTCCTGGAGCTATTCTTAGCTGAGGCGGGCCTCCCGCGACTCCCAGGCAGAAGTTCCCACGTGGGCTTGGGCAGCACCTCGCCAGGGGGCCATTCCCCGTCCTCGACCTCGCGCGGGGTGGGGGTGGGGGGCCGGAGGCTGAGTTCCGCATCTGAGGACCCATCCCCCGATTCACTCCCATCCCCGAGTCGGGGCGTCAGTGTTCCTGGAGAGGGCTTTCCTGGTACTCAAGGCGCCCGCAGCGCCCCCAGGACAACCCCGCTGCCCTCGCGAGCGGCCCTACATTCCAGGCGAGGAAAGAAGGCGCACAGAGACTCCGCCACGTCGCCGAAGAGCGGGCTGGCCTCGGTCGGCCCCGCTCGCCGGGTCGGGCTACCTCTGGAGGCGGCGGCAGCCGCCAGCGCGTGCATGTAGGGGGTCTCCCAGCGCTCCATCACCGGCTTGCCCAGGATCTGCAGGTGCGTGTCCGATGCGTCGTAGGCCGCGGGCGCAGCCCGCCAGGCGGGGCTGCAGTTCTCGCCGGGCGCGAAGATAGGGGTCGCGGCGGGGGCGCTCATGCTGCGGGATAGACCGCACACTCTGCAAGCTCCGGAGGGGCAGGGCCGCGTCCCTGCAGGGCCTTCTGGGCAGGGGGCGGGGCGGGGCGGGGCGGGGCGGGTGGTGGGCGGGATGGACGGCCCAGGGCGCAGGGCGCGAGCTCATTGCGCGGCGGCACGAGCGGCCTCTAGCGGCTGTGGTGGAAAAGGCGGCCCTCGGTGAGTCCCGGATCCCCGCGAGAGTCCCTCCTCGCTAAGCCTCCTGGCGGGTAGACCAGGCACTGGAGCCCTCGGGGTCCTCACCCTGTCGCTTTCCTGCCTCAGTTTCCTCATCTGTCACCACCGACTGCATCAACATCCCCCTCCTTGCTGGAGTGTGAAGGTCTAAGGATTTTCCAGGCAGGGTTGGAAGTGCTTTAAAGTGTTTACAATTACTCGTCCTTCAGAAGTGTTGCAGTGGCTTCTTTTATCCTCGTCATTTTTATCTTATTTATTTAATTTTTAGTTTTGGGCGTGCCACATGACTTATGGGATCTTATTTCCCTGACCAAGGATTGAAACTTGGATGCACAGTGAAAGCGCCACCAAGTCCCAACCCCTGGACCACCAGGGAGTTCCCTTATCCCTCCTCATTTTACAGGTGGGGAAACTAATGCTCCACAGGCAAAGCTGGCAACCTCACAGCTGTGAGTGCACGGGTGTAGGGACCCAGAACAAACCCTGACCACCCCTCCTGAGCTCAGATCACCCCCCCCCCCCCCCCCATGCCACCTGAGACCCCAGAGGCCTAATGAGCAGCTCAGGGCACAGAGGCCTCTAGCGCTGGGACTGAAACACCCACCCCAGCAGTCAGCAGTTGCCAGATCCTCCTCCCCAGGACAGTAGGCAGGACAGCCCACCCCTGCTGTCTCGCCCCAGGGCAGCCTGGGAGTCAGCTCTGTCCTCTGCCTGTCACGCTGGGACCCGGCCCCAAGTGGAGCTGGGATGTCCTCCAGGCTCTTCCTTTTCCTGTCTGTCTGCACACGGGGGCCCCAGGGTGTGAATCTGGAACACTCCATCCCTGCCAAACCTTTTGCACATCCCAGTGAACATGTGGGAAAGCTGAGGCCCAAAGAGGCTGAGGTCTGAACAAAGATCCATACAGCCAAAGCTATGGTTTTCCCAGTAGTCATGTGCAGTTGTGAGAGCTGAACCATAAAGAAGGCTGAGGGCGGAAGACTGATGCTTTTGAACTATAGTGCTGAAGAAGTCTCTTGAGAGCCCTTTGAATTGCAAGAAGATCAAACCAGTCAATCCTAAAGGAAATCAATCCTGAATATTCATTGAAAGGGCTAATGCTGAAGCTCCAATACTTTGGCCACCAAAGAGCTGACTCATTGGAAAAAATCCTGATGCTGGGAAAGATTGAAGGCAAGAGGAAAAGAGAGCGACAGAGAATGAGACTGTTAGATAACATCATCGACTCAATGGACATGAATCTGAGCAAACTGTGGGAAATAGTGTTGGACAGGGAGCCTGGCGTGATGCAATCCATGGGGTCACAGAGAGTTGGACATGACAGCGAATGAACAACAAGCCACGCCCTTCTGTGTCCACCTCTGGATGGCTGCTAACAGCCCT